TGGCAGTAAAGCACTTGGGTAGATAAAAGTGTATTGAAAAGATTCTGCCTGCAACTTAAAGTTTATGTAACTAGAAGTTGTGGAATAGGCTCCCAAATTCCAAATGTCTTTTAACTTCAAAAAGTCCATGCAGTTTCACATGGTGATGGCACAAAATATTTTATCCTTGGTCATAATCCCTGTGCCTGGTAACTGCTAAGCTTCCTGGGTTCACATATGTTAGATATAGGAGTCCCTGCTGTAGCCATCTCTCTCCAGTAACAACATTCAACATAAAATGCAACAGATCATGTGCCTATAAATAATTCTGCCATTGTTAATATACTTGTAACAGTAAAAAAATATTTTGATAGTATAGAACAATGAAAATGGTCAGGGAAGTATTTTTAAGTAGGGAAAATGATCTTGAAGTCATCTAAGATAGATGTATGCCAAGCTCTTTAATCTAGAACCCCCACACAGAAACACTGCTGTTGCTTGGCTTCATCATGCTTGGCTTTTCTGTGGTAACTCATCCATCCATCCATCTTTCCATCATTGTACTAAAATGACTTAGATGTGTTTTATGAAAATCCTCTTTGAGACAGTCATGGTTGATTACCAAATCACCCAAAGTGGATCATAGCTGTGCTCTTGGAACTCATTTACCATGGTTTCTGCTTTGCTCTTACCTATGCTGCTCATTATCAAAACAAGCCAATTAAAATTTGCTTTTACACACTGTCATAAGATGATCAACAGAAATGCTAATGGACAGACACACTGTTGGAAAGCTTCTAGAATCCTGAAGTGACTTTGACCCTGTAGCTCTAGTGGGCCAACTCAGCAGGGGATTTTTCAGCTCAACTTCTATGGCATTTTCTCATAGCATTTCACTCTATTCTTTTCATTCTGTACATTCAGTTATGCATGCTGTCCTGTGTTCTTGATACACAGGTAATATAAGCTCTATATTTTTCTACATTCTATAGTTCTTGCTTTTATTCATATAGGTCTGTGCTTATTCCCTGTCCTAAATAAAATTGTCAAATTTTCACTGTTTCACTTTTCCTTCAACTGTGGCCTTTTTAACTATGCATCCAATTCCTTTCCTTGGAAATCTCTTCTCAAGCTTTTTTAATCTTATTTTTGTTCCTCAAAATGTAGGTATTATCTTTCAGCCTGCTCCAGAGTCCACTGAAAGCATATATGCTCATTTCACAGCTTCAGAAAGATAGGTTTAAGGGAGACTCGGAGTTGTGCCAAAGGATGCTTATGTGTTTTGTTCTCTCATAACATGAAATTTAATTATTGCAATGCTCTGTTTCCAGCTCTTCAGAACACTACTGCCCATGCATCTGCTAGGATGAATGATTAAAGATGAAAGCAATGTAAATCTTGGACTTAGGATTCTGTTTACTCCCACAGCAAGGAAATGAGTTCTTGCAACTTCCTCTGACATACTGGGCTCTTGCATGGCACCATCCTGTGTAGTCCCCAGGGAAAGAAACATCTCCTTTAAAGTTAGTACTTCATTGGCCTCATAGTGAAAGCCAATTACATGTTGTAAAATAATTGTAGTAATTTAATGTAATTTAATGGTTGTTTAAAAATGTAGTAAGAAATCCATTTGGAACTAGGATTTTTAAACTAATTTTATATCATTTTTTTAAAGCACTGTTGTAGTTTTCACTGATAAAGCTAGTATTGTTTATTTGCCTTCTGTTAGACATGCCAGAATTTATGGGAGAACCTTAATCTCTTTTACTGGACTAACTGATGAAATTGAAAAAAATTGTAGGTTTTTATGATCCATTGTATTTATGACATTGCTTGTGTAGGGTAGACCCTTAATATTGTGTGACATGTCAGTAAATAAATAGGATACAAAAATCAAAACGGCCTTTATGACACAGACTAAAAACTGATTAAATGCTAGGTTCTTAAGTATAATTACAAACTGGGAATCATTGCTGGAGTTTATTTGATTCTGCAGAGGTTCCAAAGGACTGGGGCCAAGAAATTATCTCTTTAAAATCTTGCTAATCCAGTACATCAATATAAACTCATTACTAATAAAGTGAGTAGGTTAAAGAAGAACGCCATAAAATATAAAAGAGATTAGTGCTGACTGATTGTTTGGAAAGGTCCATGAAGGTAAATTATGTGTATTTTGACCGAGGAGAGTCATAAATATCTAGGTACAAAGACTGCTGGCCATGCAGGATACAATAACCTGTCCTGAAGAGGGCTCAGGGAGGATGAGAGATCTGAGAGTCAGCATCAGCATTGCTGCACGTCAGGGAGACTCGGCAGCGTGGAGGCTGAATGAAATCCTCAGCTGGCCAAAGACTGGGTACCCAGTAAGAATAGAATTGTGATGTAACATCAATTTAACACTGGCCTGACCTCTGGTGAAAAAATATCTGAATTGTGATGTAACATCCATTTAACACTGGCCTGACCTCTGCTGAAAAAATATCTGATGCAGCTACAGTTCATAATTCAAGGAGTAAAAAGATTTATATGAATGGTTGAAGGGATGGAAAATATGCCTTACAGGAAGACATTCAAGGGAGTGTTAACTCTATGTCCTTATCATCACAATCTTAAAACTCATCTGGAAAAAATAATAGTTCAGCAGTTCCATGAAAAAATTCATAATAAGAACAAAACCTAGAAGTCAGTGTAGGACTGATCAGCATTTTAAACAGAGGCACAGATATAACTTTTTACAAATGACTGTAAGCAGTCATTGGATCATTTCCCCAATGGCTGTAATAGATCAGTCTTGATTGTTAATTCAACATTTGTATGTTAAGGAAACAAAAAAGGACTACAGGCCAGATGCAAAAACTAATGCCAGTAAGTCCTACAGTTAACATAAAGTACTAGGTTAGAAATCCCAGTAGTCCTGTCTAGTCTTAAACTTCTGTAGACATCAACACAATGACTATTTTTCTTTAAATTGCTGCTTTTGGTGGAGTTTTCTCTTCTTGGTGTTTAGATTTTACTTTTTAAACTAGCCTTTCCTAAACTAATCCTTTAAAAAATTTATTATTTTTTAACATCACACAGACAAAGCCATCAAAGCTTGTCATTATAAGGATTACAAGCCACAGACAGTGATGCTCCCTTGTTGGCAACGTCCCTTTAGTGGCACCAGCTTGCAGAGCAGTACTGACAGGTGGCACTTGGGGCTGTCAGAATATGCACAGAGAATGATTCAGTCACATCCCTCACCCAGACCTCTGCTATGGTCATTTCTGAATGTGTGCAGGACCTTGCCTTGCTGGTTAGAGGGAGCCAGGAGGGCTGCTCCATTGCCTTTGTTATTGGTGTTCCTCTTTCTGTGGACTGGCACCAAAATAAAAAGAGGTGTGTCAACCCAGGGAAGACCTCTGGGAAAAGAAAAACCTATATACAGGAATTTAAATTAGAGAAAATGCCTTTCCCCAACTTTTATTTTTCTTTTGTTTCTGATACCAAGGAACCAGCTGGGGATGGAAACCAGCAGGGCCTCCACTAGCTGTCAAGCAGTCACCAGTAGGTAAAACTGATCCAGGAGCTCACAGGCCCCAAGTTACCTGGAAATGCTTTAATACTGGAAAAATATTGTAAGGAGAAGTGTTGCTGACTAGTGATGAAAACAAACAACATGGTTTAAAGAAATAATATATAAAGTTGTTTTTAGTAACTGCCTCTTCTTGGAACAAGCATCTAAAAGATGAATTCTACCATCACTAATACTAATCTCTTAATGAGACTGCAAAGTTGTTTTCCTTCTCTACTGTGCCATTTCTCATGGTTTACCTTTCCTTCATGTTTGATTTTTTTTCAACATCAGTCATTCAGTTACAGCACTTCTGTTGATCTAACTGGGTTTTGGATTAGGCTTCAAGTTGCCATTTCTTTTCTGTTTGAATAGGGATTTCTTTTATCCAAAGGAAGGGAATCAATAATTTGTCATGACAAACCAATGCTCATTTGGATTCACAATGATGTGGTCAGCCCTTCTCTTGTTTTCTAAAGCCTTTTAGGATAATGGAAGAAGAGCCTTGTTTGTGATTTTTGATGTTTTCCTTTGTTTTCCCTGATTTATTTAACATCTGCACTCCATTTGACCATTTGCAGGACAGATTACAGTAAATCTATAATTTTGTTTGTTTTAAAGAAGATTGTGCTTTCTGTGTCCTAAGTCTTTCCCAGGGGATCATTCAGGGATCCATCAAAGGATTGACCTTTGGTATGACAAATTAACAGATGTATCTGTGGGAAGAAGCTAAACTATACTTTGCCATAAACTTGCATAACCTGTACTGTTCCTTTCCAATCATAGCAGATGGCAGATTACTTACAGAACCGAGCTCCCGTTCTTTTTAGGTGCTGCCACCTCTGCAATCCCACCTGTGCACGGAACACTCTCAATGCTCGGCTGTCTCAGCACAGGGAAGGCCCAGGTACTTTCCCGTCAGTCATCCCCTGCAAACTGTTTGGGGATTTTTCAGGGAGCCTGGACACCTTTGTGCCCCTGAGCATCCTGGCAGTACAGACAGAGTCAGTGAGGAGCCCTGGGCCTGAGGTTTTCCCCTGGCTTTGCACTATCACTGCTTAACCACCTCCCTGTCCTTTTGCTTTTGTAAAAAGAGAGATAAGGGGCAGGTTGCTGGCGGCCCTGTGAGCAGCTGGGGCAGGGTTCTGGCTAGAACGGGAGGCTAGGAGGGAACTCCAGATATTTTGTGTTCGCTGGGTCGAAGAGAGAAGCTGGGCGCCAGTCCCGAGGGTCAGGGTCTCGCCAAAGTCTCTCGTTCTCCAGTCCCTACAGCCACCCGCGTAGAGACTGCAGCTTCGGGGTGTCTGCCTCCCTCGGCGACCTTCCCCCCAGCAGGCACAGCCGGAGGGTCCGGGCTCGGCTCGGCTCGGCTGGGCTGGAGCGAGGAGGGGGCTGCTGCGCGCTGCAGCCGGGGGGTGCGGCTTTGCAGGGGCAGGGCTCTGGAAGGTGGGAGCGCAGCGTGGGTGGGGTGCCGGGGAGGCGTGCGGAGCGCTCCGGGAGCGGGGAGGGAAGGAAGGGGGGCCGAGGCGATCCTCCCCCCCATGATTGGCAGCGCGGCGCGTCCCCCCCCTCCCCGCTCGGCTGCTGCTGCTGCCCCTCGGCCGCCGCGGAGCGCGCATCCGCGCCGCCCGGCCGGTGCTCTCCGCGCTGCCCTCCTCTTGCCTCTGCCGCTCCCATTCGGTTGAATTGGTTTTTCCGCCCTCCTCCCCTGCCATCCTTTGGGCGCTCCCCCTCTCGCCCGCCCGCCCGGCGGGCTGCCTCCGCGGGCGCGCAGCGCGGGGCCATGCCGCCGGGGCCGCCGCTGCTTCGGGGCTCCCTCCTCCTCCTCCTCCTCTTTCTCCTGCACTTCCTCGGCGCCCCGGCCCGCGGAGCCGTCTACAGCAACCATTTCTTGGTGGAGCTGCGCGGCGGGGACCAGGCGGAGGCCGAGCGGGTGGCGGCGGAGCACGGCTTCGGAGGGGTGCGCAAGGTAAGCGCCCCGCGCGGGCTCGGAGCTCCGCGGTGCCTCGCCTTGGGCTCGGGCAGGCGGGGTCCGTGTCTGCCGTGGGCATGCCGGGGTGGCCCTGGCGCCGGGCTGGCCGCCGCTCACCTGCGGGAGGGCACGGTGCGGAGCGCGTCCCGCTGCACCCGCGGCAATGCCCGCTTCTCCCGGGGCTTGGAGGAATAGCGGTGCCAAGAGCATCTGCAGGTGCTCCTCGGCGTTGGTCCAGCTGGGTGGTTGTCTTGGAGGGAGAGCGGAGTTTCCCACATGGTGACTCGGTGCCTTTTGACTTACTATGTAAACATCCTGCCATGGAGGAGCTCCCACCCTGCGGGGCTGGGGCTGCCGCCCAGGGCTTCCCGAGCGCGCCTGGAGCGGCTCGGAGCACCTGCGGGAAAAGGAAAGCCTCATCTCCATGGAGAAGCCTGCGCACAATTTGAATAGAAGATTTCATAGGGGGGTTGACACTCAATTTTTGATGCTGGTGGGCTCTTAATGCCCCTATTATTATCCTAGAGAAATAGGATGACCCCGTGATAAGTAATGAACGCTTTTCACTAAAAATGTAAGTTTGGAAACTTCAAGTGCCATTGGAGGTTGTTTTCCCTCCTGAGGTCCTAGGAAATCAAGCGTAGCCAGAGTGACAGGTCCTCTCCTGGCTCCAGGAGCATCCACCTCTGCTAGAAATCTCTCCCATTCAGGTAATAATTGGACCTCTAAATATTTTAGGGTACAGTAAGACCTGGGGTGAAAACAGGGAGAGGCTGACAGAATGCCCTGGTCAATACAGTTCCTGGCAGACTTGCTTAGAGGGGTGCGAAAGGAAAGCGGGCTGTGAGTGTTGCTGCTGCTCGTTTGTTTTTTTAGCTTTTCCTGGCAGTTATGCAATGAAGCCTGGTCCTACATCCAAGGAAATGAATAATAATAGCACCCTGAACTTGAATGAATGAAATGGCTTTAAACCTCGATTTAAAAATAAAAATTATACAAACATATCAAGTGAGGCTCCCTCGGGTTGCCTCGTTTCAACTCCAGTGGGAGCTTGTTAGAGATATGAGGACAAGATCATTGTTGCTGTGACCACAGCTAATTCCTGCTCTGATAAGATGCTTTTGTTTTAGGCACAGAGCCTTATCATTATAGTGACAGATAGCTGCTGATACATTTGGGAAAGGATTCATTGTGTGCATTAGGTTTTGTTATATGACATTTAGATACAGCTTTTTGGTTAACGGTTTTCCTCTTCGAGTCTCTTCCTGATGGTGTTCCCTTTCTCCTCTCCTGGGATTGTCTGACTGATAAGGCCTTATAAGGATAGAAGGGTATGTTCCTGCATGGATCAATTTCGTATGACTTTTGCTAGGTGCTTTCAAATGATGCTGTGGTCCAAGTGGGGAAGAAACAGGGAAGTTCCCTTCCTCCTCTCCTGGGATTGTCTGACTGATAAGGCCTTATAAGGATAGATCAATTTTGTATGACTTTTGCTGGATGCTTTCAAATGATCCTGTGGTCCAAGTGGGGAAGAGACAGGGAGAGAGAGAGGATTTTGTAGGATGGAGAAATGTGGCTTCTGGGCTGTTTGAATCCTCTACCATGCCTCTCCCCAGGATGCCTCGGCCCCGTTAGGAGACATTCTTCATGGAAGTCAGCCTTGTAGCTCACCTGAGCTGGAGGGAAGTCCCTTGGGTGTGCAAGAGGAGAGGGAGTACCTGCTTTCCAGGACTGGCTGCGGGGAGGCTGTGGGCACGGGTGTCTCTAGGATGGAAGTCCAGCAGAGCCATGGTGTGATGTGTGTGTGCTCATGGCGTGGGGCAGCGGGTGGCTGCACTGGCTCCTGTACTCAGCACATACTGTCTGAAGTTTTCTGGGTTATACTATCCCAATCCCTGAAAAGCTTGCCACCCCTCCTCCCCAGCTGTAAGAGGAAATAGCACTCTGCCTTCTGTAAGGCAGTAATTTTAGGGAAGGGGAAAAGTTGGTAGGGTTTGACACTACTGGGTGTGTTTGAGGACAATCAGTGAGAGGCTGGTAGCAATCTCTGTTCTTTACGGGGTTTGGGGGCTGATAATTGGCTGCCAATAGAAGCATGTATCATTTATGCCAGTGGCTCTTCAGTACTGCTGAAGAATCTCCTCTCTGTTTTGCTATCGTCAGGCTTGTCTAGCAGCCTACAGTCTGCAGACTCAGCTTTCATGGCGATATCGACAGTGCAGGAAGTTGAACGTGGCCGTGTAGAGATACACAGAGCTGTTAGTGGGAAGCTCTCAAGGGAAACTACTGTGTGCAGATATGCTGTCTAATGAAATATTCAAAAAATACCAGCACACCCCCTCCACTCCCAAATTACATCACAAAGAGAAGTGGTCTTTTAGCTACTTCAATGACATATGCTGCTTGGATGATATATTGCGTTATTTACTTAAAACAAATCCAGTTAACTTTGCCCATATTGGAGAAGAGCCATGGTCTGAAAATAATCACCTTTATTTCAGTGCAGTGTAGGAACACAAGAGCAGATTCTTTTTTTATTGTGTGTGAATTTAAGATCCGTATGAGAAAGATTCCTTTTATACCTTTAAGGTATCACAGATCTCTTTTAACATGACTTTATGGGAGCTGGTTTTTAAATTATGTATTTTTAGTGCACTTTTTTTTTCCCCAAAAACAAGCAATCTCTGAGCGAGTGCATATTACGTTTACTTAACAGCAGATTTCTGTAGAAATGCATGAGAAAGCATTGCCTTTAAGATTGATGTTATGGATTGCATGATGTGCTTTCTAATTGATTCCTTGGCCATGCTTCCTACCATCATTCTGAAACCCCTACAAGATGTCAGGTAGGCTGAATGTGTGCTTTAAATTCAGTGTTTGATGAATTGATTGAGAAGGGCTTGGTGCTTACATAAACAGGTGCTTTTGTTTAGGTGTAGGATCCTAACATGTCAAAAAGAATAGTCCATTTTTCTTTAATCATCCCTGAATTAATCCTGAATACGGACATCTTTGTAATGCTGATTGTGCTCTTTGATTTTTATTTTAATATTTGCAATTTTTCAGTACATTTTTACCTGCTAAAACTGATTCTGTGTATTTCTGGTGAAACAGATACTGTAATAAAACATACTTTTTTCTTAAAAGGGTTAGTCTTACCATCTTTGAGCATTCAGGAGTTGTGAGAATGCCCCCCTAATATTGCAAGAACTGCAGAAAGAACAAGATTTTGGTTTTGATTGGGTTTTTTCCCCCCATTTGATTTATTTGCCTCTTGGCATGGTTGTCACCAGAATACATTTCTTAATGCAGGCTGAAAAAAGCTGCTTTCTGACCTTGCCTTGCAATTTTCAATGAATTTCTAAGAAGGAGAGGTGGAAGATGCATTTAGAAAGGTCTTCTATTTGGAGATCAGAGTTTGGGCATCTCTTTCCATTTCATCAACAACAGCGACACTGAGACAGTCCACAAAATGCCACCATAACTAGAAAGCTAAATATTTTGCATTGAGGTGAAGGGTTTTAAACAGCTAGCATTCAGTGGCCCCAGATTTTAAAATAAGATCCAAACACGGATTTGAAAATGTGGAGAACTTTGTGTTGCCTAAAGCTGCTCTATTTTTTTCCTTGTATCACCTGATCCCTTATCCCTCTAAATCTTGCAAAACTCAGTCTTACCTCTCGCAGCTGTGAATGCTTTGCTTCCTGTTTTTTGCTTAGGAGGCTGCTGGTTGAGGACCAGGCTTTGTGGAACCAACCAGTAATTTCTTTATGAAACTCTGTGAGCATTCAGGTTTTCTTGTTTGCTTTTTTTTTCTTTGCATTGCATAAATACAGATATATCAAAAGCAAAACTTAACAGATAAAGAAGCTATATTTCTTACTGCAGCAACCCACTTCCCTGCATTTAGGCAGGGAGCCTGTGAGGTGGGAGTTGATGTGGTTTAGAAGGCAGACCAAGAGGCAGAATGATGAGTTCACAGCCTTGAGAGCACTTTGCTGGGATTTCTGTCAGGGATCCTGAACATTTCGTCCTGGGATGCACATACTAAATCCTTAAAATGCCCTCCTGTGCAGATCAACCTCTAAATCTGGCACATAGATGTTTGCCTTTTTTTTTTTTTTTTTTTAATACTTTAATACTTTGTGTTTTGCCTTGGATGCATAAACAGCTCCAGGAGCAAACACTAGCTAACTTGGAGCGAACAAAAAAAATTCCTATTACTTAAATGTAATCAATTATGCACATGAAAGCTGTAAATTATCAAGAAGATCTGTAAACCACAGACTGAAGCACATCCCTAACCCAGTTTCTGTAAAACTCCTTCTCTGCCAGAGACTCAGACTGTTTGCTGGTAGTGCACATTCTGTTTGAGCTATAAAATAATTACCTTGTCAGATTTTACACTTGTTTGAATGTAAAACAATAAGGTTACACTCCCTTACTGTAGATCCCCACTGTAATTGCTTCATTGTTTTGAATATGTGGTGTAGTTGTTTCTTGGCAAAACATGCAGATTAAACCCTACCTTTACAAAATTTTGGTTTTTTTTCCTGAACTACAGCTCAGTAAACAGAGAATTATGGAATTCTCTCAGTTTATAAAGCTGTCTGCATTTATAATTTTATTTATTCCATATTGTTTAGAACCATTTGCAAAATAGAACATGTGGTAGAGACCCAGGAACTGCATCACAAGTGCAGTTCTTTGTTCACTTTTTTTTTTGATGCTGCAGCCCAATGGGGAATGTGCAATTATTGGTTTTCATTTACATTGTATTTAGTTTTGCCCATGTCAAGGAGAAAACGTGTAAGAAATGGACAGCATTCCCTGAATGCTGTGATCCCAGCATACAGGAACATGCTGTGCACTAGTCCATCTCCTGCCATCTAACCCAGAGTGCTGGACATCCTTGGCATTTGTTTATTAGCAGGCAAATGGTCCCGGGGACTGAGTCTGCTGCTTGTCTCCTTCAGAAAAGGACAGAGGTGTTTGAA